CCAGTCGCCGCCCTTCCCGGCGCGCGCGCCGCGATTGTCGCGAATCCGCGATAATCAGAAAAATTGCGGACGTCAGCAGGACCGCCTCGCTGGGCACACGAACTGCCAAATTGCTACGTCCCGGTAGCTGCGAACCTCTCGCGCCGTATAGTGTAAATACCCCGCGTTCGTACGTTTTATTCGCCGCAAAGTACCTGTGCATATTTATATCTCTGCAAAGCGCGTTTCCGTGCGAAAAAGCATAGGTATATTAACATACCTCTCTACGTTTCTCTGTACATATTATTGTCATTAGGCTATCTTTATTACGTGCATCATAAGTCTCCGTTTCATTGTATATTATTTCCATTACTTCATCTTTATTCTGTGCATCATAATAATTCATATTTTCATCTCGTTTTATTTTTTGTATTAGTTCATTTTTTTTCTTTTCTTTTGTTATCAATAAATCATATTCGTTACTGTCCACCGATGCGTACATTATTTTAGTTGCTATTACCGAAATACCGATCCAAAGCGAACTCTCCTCCTGTCGGACCTTTTTGTACGATCCGCATAAACGACGAGCTAGTCCGAGTACAAAATAAGGCTGTTACAATCTATAACCTCTGCTATCTGATAGAATGTATCAGATCGCAGTATCAGTGTTGTATCAGATTGCATAGGTTATAGATTGGATAATATTTTAATAATCATGTTTAATGGCTCTATTTTGATCCGTATAGGATTTTGGATCCGAACACAAAGATGTTACTCTCTGACAAAATCATTTATATAAGTCATAACCGTAAATCAACACAAAAAAGTAGTTTGTGTCACCTTAATTATACTACGAATTACGTTCATGACTCTATTAAAAACCGACAATCTTTTTTATCTTTATACTTAGGTCCTTTGAATAATGTGCCCACTCGTTTTTTTTTTAAGGAACAACAAGAAACGGAAATCCTATTATTTCTTTTACTATTACAAGTAAATTTAGAATGGATGTAAGCAATTTAATTAAAGGAGTGCACATCTTAGTGACAAAACAAACTGGAAGTCCTGTCAAAGATAATCATTCTTTTTGGGTAATGGATACGAGAGGTAAGATATTAAATTTAGATATTTACGATATGATTGAAGTAAAGTATTATGTTAATGTATGTATTGTATAAATGATTTTTTGAAACATTATATAAATATGATAAATGTATATTTGTAATATATTTTTGTTAGTTGAATTTAATTCTACATATTCTATACATGTATTACATTTTTTTTTTAGATAATACCATTTGGCCTATACCAGATTTACCAGAAGTACGAAAATTTTTCAATTTATCTCCAGAAAATAGTTATGAGAAAGGTATTTTAATATTTTAATTTTTCTATTGTTGAATTTTCATCTTTTTCTATTTGCTAACATTTCTATCAACAGTAAAAATTATTAAATTTTATAATATTTATCATTAATTTTGCAGATTCAAACATTGAAGATAATTTTGCAACATCTGTAAATAAAGAAAATTTGTCTTCTGATACAATTGGAGAACATGGTAACATTTATATGAAATTATATACCTGATCCAACATATATGAAATTTTTATTCTTTATACATTATTTAAGATTTATTATTTTATTTCAATGTTTGTCTTTATTTGTAGCTACATGGGAACATGCGGCAATTATGCTTCTTTTTCATTACGGAAAGAGCATGATGATTTATTTAAAAATGATAAAGTAAGAAATGAAACTGTATGGAAGAAAATCGCCGAATCCTTTAAAGAGAAAAGTTATATATATACTGCTAAGCAAATAGAAAATAAATGGAAAAATTTACGAAAAAATTATATGAAAACAAAAGAAAATAATAATAAATCTGGAGCATCATTTAAAAAATGCAAATATTTTGACGAAATGGATGAGATGTACGGAAAATCTCCTAGTGTGCAACCTGTGGCTATTGCTTCAAATCTATCAGAAAAAAATGCGCTTCCATTAGAGATTGAAGAAAAAAAAGTTGACGAAAATACTTGTTCAGTACCTTTGAAGAAAAGTAAGCTGGATAAGCAATTGCAAATGTGGACAAAACATTTAGACGAAAGTATGCAGAAAAGAGAAGAAACAAGAGAGAGAAGGCACCAAGAAAGACTTGCTCAACAAAAAGAAGCTCTAAAAACTTATAAAGAAGTAATGCTCGAAGCAATGAAAAAAATTAATGAAAAAGAGTAATTCAATTCGTAATTTTCACATTTTGAAACACTTTCTATCTTACAATTTTTATTAACTTACAATTGGTTTTTTAGCACTTGATAGTGATATCTTAAGGACCTCTTTCACCAACTCTGATTAACTTAATCGACGATTAGTCCATTGGAATTGACCAATCGCGTCTGTCGTTAAAACTAAATGATAAATGCGATTGGTCAATTCCAATGGACTAATCGTCGATTAAGTTAATTGGCGTTGGTGAAAGAGGCCCTTAAAATATTAAGACATTTTTCTTAATAGTGCCATATATCTTAGAAAGTGTGCAATGTTATGTTAAAATAATGGTACAAAGCTTTTTTTTTACTAATAATACAATGCTATATATATATACATATGCTATATTCGTAATATATTTACATATAGATAGTATTTAAAAGATTTATTTAATATAATACGTATATTTTTTTTCATTTAAGGTATATTTAATACAATATGTATATTTTTCACGTAAGGTATTTTTATTAATATAATAAAATTTTGTTATGTTCCATTTCTATATATATAATATATAATTACATGTAGTAATTTATCTTCTTGGAAATAGAATTGTTGCAAGATAATTACGCTTGGCTATACCTTCATCATCATCATTATTATTATCATTTTCAACTTGTGCACATTCTGGATTATCTTCTCTATTTTGTTCGTTTTCTATTATATAATTCTCAACTTCATCATCAGTATAATCACCTAAACATATGTATGAAGAACACAACAGGCTAAAATTGTTGCAGGTATCAAATCTATCTTGGACATATCTAAATATTTTAAACGTCTAAAGCGTCCTTTTAGTAAAGCAAAAGCGCGTTCTATTATTTATCTAGTCTGTGATAAAATAAAATTAAAATTGTTCTCGACCTGTAACATACAAAAGTTTACAAAAATAAGTATATATAAAAGACTAGTAATGCAACATTACTGACATAATTATCAAATAAAATTAAAATTTAAGTGAAATAAAATAGTATTAATAAAACAGAATAGTTTTAAATAAAAAGATCATGCTGTCTTTCTATCAAAGTAAGATCTTAAATGCCAAATTAATATTTATATTATTCTATGAATATTAATTTAAGCCAGCGGCACACGGTGCTTGTTTTCCTGCTGGATTGCTAGCTAGATCAGATTCTTGCCATCGGATTGGCCGCGATACTGACACTTTCAGCACCGCAGTCAATACGGTGGCAAGATTCTAATCCAGCTAGCAATCCAGTAGGAAAAAAAAGCACCGTGTGCCGTAGGCTTTAGTATTTAAAATCCTGCTTTGATCAAAAGATGACATGATCTTATTTGTAAAGTTAAAATACTGTAATGTTTATTTTTTTAAATATATTGTAAAGTACCTCTGTCAAATGACCATTATCCTTATAAGCGGTCAAACACCATCCAAGTACAGGATATGCTTTGTCTCCTATTATGAATTCTTGATTAGGGAAAAAAGACTGAGGATTTCTGTTGACACAATTCCAAAGATCAGAATTGCGGAAAACTCTAAGATCCCCCACAGAACCAGGATATCCGGCATAACAATCAATGAAAAGCATATCTGCATCACATACAGCTTGAAGTATAATGGCATATCTACACTTTCTTGTCAGGTAACAATGAGCATCTATCTGAAAAATAAACATAAATTTCTATTAATAAAATTTAAATATAATAACATATTTAAAAAAGCAAAACTATAAATATTACAGATGGTGCTGGAATTTCAATATATGAATCATCAATAGCACCAAGAACATTATCAAGACCCGCTATTTGTTTGAACTTCTCTGTTACAGTATTCATACGATTCACAGATGGCCATTTGATAATATCGTTTGAAATATTACAAAAGGCCTGAATAACACGTCGTACGCAGTGATTTAGTGACGATTTAGCCAAATCGAATTTGAGTCCAACAGATCTATGACAATAAAAATTCCATACAAAGTTATTAACCATAGATAATAGAAAACAAATATATATAAGAGAGAGAGATATATAATAATAAAAATAGAAAATTTAATTTAAAATGATTTTTTACTTTGCTGAGTGAGTAATTATCAAAATATAAGAAGGTATATAAAAAAGAATTAAGCTATATAAAAACTAATTATTGTTTGAAAATAAACAATATGAGTTAATTGGGAATAATAGATGATTTCAAAATGGATAATTTTGAGATAATTGTTGTATTCTTTTGATAAAGAATGTGTGCTGAACACGTATTGGTTGTTAAAATAATTAATTCTTGAAGTGGACTGTAATATTCGATATTTATTTCTTTGAACCGTTATACACGTTTTTCTTTAAACTTAGTTGAGAGCGACCATAACGTATAATACAATGCTAGATAGTAGAAAGGAACTAAACTAAAAGTGCTGTGTGTGCTCATAGACGGCGGCAGCGTTACCAACTTAATATTTTAATACAATATATGCCGCGCGCCTTGACAACTTGTAGTCGTCAACTTTACAATTAACCAAAGCAAATTAAAATGTAAAAGTAATGCTTACACAAATTTTTTTTTTTTAAATATGATGACAATCTTAAATCATGAACTCTTATTAACATTGGAATCATTGTCTAACGGTAAAATATAAAGTTTAACTGCTGGTCTTTTGTACTTCCCGGTTGCCGTTCGAATAAGAGCAGCTCTTGTTATTTTGTCGTCACCGGGATATATTTCTTCTACACGTCCCAATACCCATTTCAATGGTGGGATACCATCTTCCTTGCAGAGAACTAATTGGCCCACTTCTAACTGAGGTCCTGCGCTTTTCTGCCATTTGCTACGCCTCTGTAAGCTTCCTAGATACTCTGTGGACCAGCGTTTCCAAAAGTGCTGCCTGATTCGTTCCAGAAACTGCCACCTAGATAGCCTGTTTATTTTTATGTCCATTATATTTGGCTCCGGGTATGATACTAAACTGCTTCCTATTAAAAAATGTCCTGGTGACAAATATCTCAAATCGTTGGGTCTTCTGATATAGCTGTGAGCGGTCTGGAGTTCAATATGGCTTCTATCTGTGCTGTCAACGTTGAAGCTTCTTCGAAGGTCATCGCTGCTTCTCGAGAGACTTTGTAAAAATGCCTTTTGAATGATTTGACTGCAGACTCCCACAGCCCGCCAAAATGTGGAGCACGAGGTGGAATGAAATGCCAAGAGATACCAATTGCTGAAGTCTCATCTATGATTTTGCGTTTGCACTCTTGCTGCTTGAACATTTGTCTCAGCTCTTCCAATTCTCGATTGGCGCCTACGAAATTAGTCCCGTTGTCTGAGAAAATGTCAGTTGGTTTGCCTCTACGACTGATCAATCTTTTTAATGCTCCTAAAAATGCGTTCGTTGTTAATTCAGATACCACTTCCAAGTGCGCTGCCTTTGTGGTCATACAGATAAACACTGCGACATAAGCCTTATTGCGTTTGGCATTTTTTCGCTTGCTTTCACGTATATATATATAGGTCCACAGAAGTCCAATCCAACACTCATAAATGGCCTTGATGGTACGACTCTACTGGCTGGTAGGTCGGCCATTATCTGCTGAGATGAACGAGGTTTTGACCTGTAGCAAACAATGCATTTATGAATTAATTTCTTTACAGTGCCGCGCGCCCTGATTGGCCAATACAATTGCCGGACTGCGGCCAAGGTTGCATCGACTCCCGCATGAAGATTTCTCCGATGTTCGTGTTCGATGACCATCTCGCTTAATTTAGATCCTTGGGGTAATAAGATTGGATGTTTAGAATTGTATTCTAGCTGTGAATGTTTCAATCTTCCTCCAACGCGCAACACTCCGTTATCATCTACAAATGGATTGAGATGTTTCAAACTGCTGTTTCTTGGAATTGTTTCACCCTTCAGTAGCGCGTTTAGCTCCTTTTCAAACGCCGTTTTTTGCACCATCTTAATGATACATTTCTTGGCATATTCTAATTCTTCTAATGCTAGGGGTTCCTGAGGCTCTTTTGGATATTCTCTTTTGCAAAAGTGCTTGAATCGCACGCACCTTGCCACGACTCGAATAAGTTTATTTAAACTGGAGAATCTATCCAACAAACTAATTTCTCGATGTTCACTTATTGTCAGTAGCGCTTTCGTATTTTGATCTGTAGTAGGTTCGTTGAACTCCGCTTCTAACTCTGTTGCGAGGTCTTTCAAGGTATTTTCACGAAGCCAAATAGGACCTTCCCACCATAGTTGAGAATTCTGCAGCTCTCTGGGCATGCATCCGCGCGACATCAGATCCGCCGGGTTCTCCTTCGTTCCCACGTGGCCCCAATCTTCTACTGCAGTGAGCTCTTGTATTTCTCCTATTCTGTGAGCGACAAACACTGGTAACTTCTTGTCTGTGGATTTAATCCAATGTAGTACTATTGATGAATCTGTCCAAAATATATTTTGTTGAACTTTATTGTTAATGCGTTTTTGACCTTCGCTATTAATTGTGCTAGCAATTGTGCTCCGCATAACTCTAACTTCGGTATTGATATTATTTTTAGGGGAGCAACTCTTGACTTTGCACATACCAACTGAGTTTGATAATGATTGTCTCCTTCCTTTGTACGAATATAGAGACAAGCACCGTAAGCACGTTCGCTCGCATCACAGAAGCCGTGAAGCTCGATTTCCGTTTGTGGATTTTTTCCGATGATCTTGCGTTGTACACGAAATCCATTTAAATCTTGTAATTTTATAATGTAACTCGACCATTCTGTTGTAATATCCATTGGTAAAGATTCATCCCAATCTACTTACAACTTCCATAATTTCTGTTAAAGTAAATATTAAAAATGAGTTTTCCTCTATTACAGTTTGTATTTCAATGGTTAATTGTTCGCAGTTGGCACTACGGCCTTAGTATTATGTTGGTATGTTATGTATTCCCTTTCTCTCTACAACATGGTAGAATCCTTACTGTAATTTTTGTTGTGACTCTTGCTGCACATAATAAAGGAAGAACTTCTTTTAATAAGCATATTGATGTTCTTTACACCTCTGATCCACATCAACATGGTAGCAGAGCGTGGTTAGTTATATAAATAAACGTCTTGTGTGTAATATATGCAAAAGAAATCGTTGTGGTATTTCGAAGAGGTTACTTGCTGGAAACTTACACAGAAAAGATGGAATTTCACGGAATTGAAAAGCTACGAGGTGCTGAGAATTGGAATACCTGGAAATTCACGGTAAAGAATATGTTACGGGGAACTGAAGGTGCCTATGAGGTATGTATCGGTGAAATTGAGAAACCGACACCGCCGGAAGCTGTTGCTATTGCAGAACAGCAAGCAGTATATCAATCTAACCTAAAAATCTGGGATAAAGTGGATCGTGCAGCAAGTCAGATTATTGTCAAGACTCTGGAAACTAAAGTGACCTCACTCATAGTTATGTGTGAGTGTGCAAGAGATATGTGGCTCAAGCTGCATGCAGTCTTCGAGCAACAAACTAAGCAAGCTGCTCATACAGTTCAAGCAGAATTCTTTAGCTTTAGTAAGAGTCAGACGGATGATATGGTAACGCATATTGCAAAATTTGAAGGTTTGATTTTGCGCATGCAACAACTAAATGTAAGGCCAGATGAATCGTCAGTAATGGTTAAGTTATTAGACTCTCTGCCAGATGATTATGAGAGCCTTCGGCAAGCGTGGTGGGCAAGACCGGAAAATCAGCAGACGCTTACAAACTTGACAGGAGTGTTGACATCTGATGAGAAACGACGTCAACAACGAGCGGAAAAACAAGAAGAAATGGTTGCGTTAATGGCTAGTAAAACCAAGTCTCAAGGAAAAAGGCGCGGCAACACGCATGGTGGTAAGGATAATCAGTCGAAGAAACCTGCTGAATCTGCAATCGGAAAGGATAAAGAAAAATCTACGAAATATAGATGTTATAAATGTGGTGGAACAGGCCACTTTCGTAAGGACTGCTTGAGCAAAAAGGAAAAACGCAAGGATGACGACGAGGCATTTGTAAGTGAGGTATTGAATACTGAACTTGACGGTAATTCCTGGATTGTTGATTCTGGGGCGACGGATCATGTAACACATCATGGTGAGTGGTTTTCGTCATTTGAACCTTTTAAAGCGCCTGTTAAAATTCATATCGGTAACAAATCAACAATGGATGCACTCGGTAAAGGAATTGTTAAGTTTGAAGCCTCGATCAATGGAAAATGGTTATCTTGTCGTATGGAGAATGTTTTGTATGTACCGACTGCTCGTAGAAATCTGTTTTCTGTCACATCTGTTCTTGACAAAGGTATGTCATTCAATTCATCTAAAAATAGATGTGAATTTACAAAGAATGGTACTGTTAAAGCGCGAGGTGTTCGAGTTGGCCAGTTATTTAAAATGGAAATTCGCGTAAAGATACCTGAATCATTAGCTATCAAGGAAGTAAATCTATCATCAAAAGATTCATTACAGATTTGGCATGAGCGACTCGGACATCAAAATGTACGTCATGTGAAGAAGATTTTGGAAAAGCATGACATTCATTATGCGGACGATAGCCAGTTTTGTGGAGCTTGTGCTGAGGGGAAGCAACATCGCAATAGTTTTAAGGAACGTCAACAAAGAGCAACCGAACCAGGTGAGATTATTCATGCAGATCTCTGCGGCCCCATGGAATGCTCATCGTTAGGTGGAGCAAAGTACTTTGTGTGCTTTACATGTGATTACTCAAGACTACGCATCGTCTATTTTCTTAAAGAAAAATCAGAGACAGCTGATAAAATCGCAGAAGTATTACAAATTATGAAAACCAATTTTGGACGACCCATGAAGATTTTTTTGTGTGATGGAGGTATGGAGTTCAATAATAGTAAGGTACGAAATCTTCTGTCTTCGAATGGTGTAAACTTTGTTGTCTCGAATCCACATACCCCACAACAAAATGGTTGTGCTGAACGTACAAATAGAACGGTAGTGGATACTGCTCGTACAATGCTTCTAGCTAAGAGCTTGCCTAAGTTCTTATGGGCGGAAGCTGTTAATTCTGCCATCTATACGCTCAATCGAACTGGACCTAGTAGTGTCGATGGAAAAACACCGTATGAGTTGTTTACTGGAAAAAGGGTTCATCTGAGTAAATTGCACATTTTTGGTACCAGATGTTTTGTACATGTGCCCAAAGCTGAACGGAAGAAATGGGATGCAAAGGGACAACACGGAATTTTTGTTGGTTACTCAGATAATATAGATGGTTTCCGTATCTATTTAAAATCCAAGAATAAAGTTATACGAAGCAGAGATGTAATATTTGAACCAGAGACAGCTGATAAACTACTGGCACTGTTTCCTGTCGAGACAAACAATGAATCAGAAACTAATGAGTCAAAGGAACTTACCGAAAGGAATATGGCAGAACTGGAAAATTTACCGGATACTTCATCATGTAATTCTCTAAATAACCCATCATTAAATACAGAGGACAATTTAATAGAAGAGACTCCAAAACGTGAGCTACGAGATCGGAATAAATTAAATCAACCGAAACGCTTAATTGAAATCATGCTAGTCGAAGTAAATGAACCTCTAAGTTACGACGAGGCAGTCAAATCTGAAGAGTACCGTCATTGGAAAGCAGCGATGGAAGACGAGTTAGCATCATTGAAGGAAAATTCAGCTTGGTCCCTAGTTGAGTTACCAACTAACTGTAAATCCATCTCTAATCGCTGGGTGTATCGCATTAAACGCAATGCTGAGGGAAAGATAAATCGTTACAGAGCCCGTTTAGTGGCTCGAGGTTTTAGTCAGCGCAAAGGCGTTGATTATGATGAAACATTCAGTCCTGTGGCCAGATTCGATACGATTCGAACAGTTTTAAGCATTGCAGCAAATGAACGGCTTGAAATGGCACAGTTTGATGTCAAAACTGCTTTTTTAAACGGAGTTATTACAGAAGATATTTTCATGGATCAGCCTGAAGGCTATGAAGATGGTACTACTCGTGTTTGTAAACTTCATAAAAGTCTGTATGGACTTAAGCAATCTCCCAGGTGCTGGAACAAGCGATTCAAAGATGTATCAACTAACTTTGGATTGCATGAGAGCTCAGCAGATCCATGCTTGTTTTATCGTATAATTGGTAATGAAAAACTAATAGTAGTACTATATGTTGATGACGGTCTCGTTGTTGCTACAAAAAGGTCTCATATTGAGGAATTTCTGAATGAATTAAAAGAGCAATTTAAAATTACTGCTGAACCGGTTGGATGTTTTCTAAATATATTAATCAATCGTCTTGAGAATGGCTCAATTTTCATTTCTCAGAAGACATACGCTGAAGCAATATTAAGAAGATTTAATATGGAAGAGGCTAATTCCACGTCGACTCCCATGGATACGAGTCATCAAGCAGGGGAAGAAATTAGTGTAAAGAACACTGTTGCTCCTTATCGTGAAGCTGTGGGATCCTTAATGTATTTGGCTGTGTGTACCCGACCTGATATTACTTACGCAGTAAATTATGTATCGCAATTTCTTGAAAAACCAGAAGAAAAGCATTGGATGATGGTCAAACGGATCATGAGATATATTAAGGGCTCACTAACATTAGGTATCTACTATGATGTAACTACTAAGGGTGGTGAGTTAGAAATCTTCAGTGACGCAGATTACGCAAATGATCAGCATACACGTCGTTCAGTTAGCGGACTGGTCTGTAAGTACAGTGGTGGTGCTATCATCTGGGCCAGTAGACGTCAAAAGAGTGTCTCTCTTTCTACGACTGAAGCTGAATACATTGCTGCATCAGAAGCTGCAAAAGATGCAGTCTGGTTAAATCAACTATACAATGAAATTGCACCATTGATGACTGTACCCATACTTCGTGTGGATAATGCTAGTGCTATCAAATTAATGAAGAATCCAGGTTTCCACAAGCGCTCTAAGCATATAGATGTGCGCTTTCATTATGTACGCGAACGAGTTCAGGAACAGCAGTTAAAGATTGAATATATACCTAGTGAAGAACAAGTAGCTGATATTTTGACAAAACCTGTTCCACGAGTTCGAATTGAAAGATTACGTAGAATGTTAGGAATGATTAATATTTAATGTTTGTTTTTTCTTTTTCTACTAAGTTTAAACTGTTTTCTAAAGATTGTCATTTACGTATTTTTGTTTTTTGAAAATTTAGGGGAAGTGTTAAAGTAAATATTAAAAATGAGTTTTCCTCTATTACAGTTTGTATTTCAATGGTTAATTGTTCGCAGTTGGCACTACGGCCTTAGTATTATGTTGGTATGTTATGTATTCCCTTTCTCTCTACAACATGGTAGAATCCTTACTGTAATTTTTGTTGTGACTCTTGCTGCACATAATAAAGGAAGAACTTCTTTTAATAAGCATATTGATGTTCTTTACACCTCTGATCCACATCAACAATTTCTGAATTAAGATTTTAGCTATTATAATAATTGGCGCCACCAATCCGAGCGGATCGAATATTTTTGCGGTGCTCGAGATCATGGCTCTTTTAGTACACAACATCTCCAAATCCACAGCGATTGAATATTGGAACACGTCATCTGTAGTATTCCATTTAATGCCTAATGTTTTGGTCGTGCTTTCTTTATTCAATTCTAATAGTAGATTGTCAGCTGATGCTTCCGGAACGCCTTTCAATATCTCTTTGTCATTTGATGCCCACTTGCGCAGTACAAATCCTCCTCTTCGTAACAGTGCTGCTGTCTGTATGCTGATTTTTGATGCTTCTTCTTTAGAGTCTGCTCCCGTTATCAAATCATCCATATATAGGTCTCGTGCAGCGATTAATGCGCCACGGGGAAACTGATTTTCTTCCAACTCCGCGAGTCTTTGGATTACCTTGGTTGCCAAGAAGGACGCCGGCGCCGTGCCGTATGTTAAAGTCATTAATTCATAAGTTTTAATATCTTCGTTCGGAGTGTCTCTCCAAACGATCCGCTGCAGTGCCACTTGATTTTCTGTTATTAGTACTTGCCTATACATTTTGGCGATGTCAGCAGTTACCGCATAAGCATGACTTCTGAATCGAAGCAATATTGAGAATAGATCCTGCTGTATGACTGGGCCAATCATAAGAGCGTCATTTAACGATACTCCGGTAGATGTTTTGCTCGATGCGTCAAAGACTACTCTTAATCTGGTGATGCTGCTTCCTTCCCTTACCACTCCATGATGTGGTAAATAGTAACACTGCTGAGAATCTTCCTTATGACCATCCTCTTGAACCACTCTCATGTGCTGTAACTCCAGATATTCATGTATAAATGCTGTGTACTCCTTTCTTAATTGCTCGTTTTTCGCTAATCTCTTTTCTAAACCTTTGAATCGTTGAATTGCTGTGTCCTTTGACTTTCCTAAATCTTTAAGTAAATCTTCTTTAGTAGGTAAGGACACAATAAATCGACCTTCTTCATTTCGCTGATAAGTTTGCATGAAATGCTCCTCTGCTTTGCGCTCTTCTGGAGATCGAGTATTTTGACGCTCATTATGCTCAATCTGCCAGAACCTTGCGAGCTGTGCGTTGATTTGCTCATTGATACTTAAATTGCATATTGTTTTTTCTTGTCTTTCGCTCGACGTAATGAGATTTCCAGCCACGATCCAACCTAATAATGTTTTTTGCCATAATGGCTGATCCTCTGTTTTCTTTATTCTTCCTATGCACATTATATCAAAGAAGATTTCGGCTCCGATAAGAAAATCTACCTTGGATGCCTTGTAAAATTCCGGATCTGCTAGTTTGATACCCTTGGGAATCTTGATTTTACTCGGATTGATGTTCTTGACTGAATTTGGTTGTGTGATGCTCTCCATCACGAAGCAATTTAACTTTGCTTCATATCCACTCGTTTTCGATTGCATCCTTATTTTGACGTATTTGTGAGTTCGTGTGTACATCTCGCCTAAGCCGCAAATCGGTATATTTGTTGAAAATTGCTTTAATTTTAAGGCTTTCGCGAAACTATTAGTAATAAAACACGATTGGGATCCACTATCTAATAAAGCTCTGCAAGCTTTCTTATTTCCGTTAGCATCTATCACGTCTACTGTCGCTGTCGCCAACAATATACATTTATCTTTAGGAAAAGTTACGTGATTTGAGCTGATTGCTACTAAACTTTCTTTTTTTGAATTGTCGCTGTTTTCTGTCTTTGTTTCCGGTGTCTTACTTGTTTTTTGTTCTAAATGTAGTAACGTATTGTGACGCTTGCTGCATATTTTGCATGGCCTCGAGCCACACTGCTTAGCTCGATGAGATCCGCCTTTCAAACAATTTAGGCATAATTTGCGTGATCTCACCTCTTCTATCCTCTTGTCTACTTCTAATTTCAAAAATCCACTGCAATTATACACGGCATGATCAGCTTTACCGCAATAGGCGCATACGATTTTCGAAGCCGCTACATGCGATGCCGTTCCTTTTATTTGACTCGTGTTCGCTGATCCTGTACGCTGCGTGCGCGCTGAAGCTTCCAAAGCTCTACAATATTGACTGAGAAAATTTATCAGCTGATCGAAGGTGGGCAGCTCACCTGGTTTTATGGTAGTTTTCCAGGCTCGATTTGTTTTTTGGTCTAACCTGCTCGTCAACAGGTACACTACTAAATCGTCCCACGCTTCAGTCGGTCTTTTTAAAGCTTTTAATGCTCTCAAATGCTTTAATGAGCTATCCAATAATTGACGTAACGCCGAATGACTCTCTTTTACCATTGCAGGCAACTCAAATAATGCTCGAATATGCTTCTGAATGATCAACGCTGGATCATCATATCTCATTCGCAACATTTCCCATGCTTCGATGTAATTTTCTTCAGAAGCCTCTAAAGAACTAATAACTTCACGTGCTTCGTCTTTCAATGCTGAAATAAGATACTGCATTTTTTGCACCTTTGGAAGTGCAGCGTTTTGATCAATCATGGATTTAAACATGTTACGAAATAGCATCCATTCCTCTAGATTACCTGAAAACGTAGGTAAATCAACTCTAGGTAATTTTAAATATTCATTGGCAACGATACTTCCCTGCGTAACTGGCGTTCCTTCTCTCACGTGTCGAAAATTCGACTGTATCGATGGCATGACTGATTCCTTTTGTTCGATCAACGTTACCAGCTCTGCTGTAATTTCAAAATATTTTTTCTCGAAATTAGCTCTTTCTTGTTCATGTAAAAGCATGCCTTGTGGATCCGTATCCATTTCTTCTATTCCGGACTGAACTTCGTTGAACTTATCCCATGTTTCGAAGAATTTTTGCAATCGTTGTCGAAGTTCTGCTACCGATGTATTAGAAACATTTAGGTTATCTATATAAGCCCGAAATCTGGTGCTTTGTGCTTTTATTTGAGCCCGTTTTGTGACCAGCGATTTGACAAAGGCGGCCTTTGCTGCGGCCGTTATTGTTGGATCATTACCGTTTGTTCGGACATTTTGCTGCACTCTCTAATGTCCAACTACTCTGATATCTTAATGCCGCTTTTACAGACACGCAATTTGCTGAACGCGAAGAACTTTGTTTCTTTATCTCAATGGATTTTCACGATACCTTTTTGGTTGTTATCTTCCGTTGCTGCTGTACGATCTGTCTGCCCCCTTTTTTTTTTTAGCTTAGAGCTTATATCCAATTTTACCTCTACATCCGGCTCGAAGGACCAAATGTTGTATTCTTTTGATAAAGAATGTGTGCTGAACACGTATTGGTTGTTAAAATAATTAATTCTTGAAGTGGACTGTAATATTCGATATTTATTTCTTCGAACCGTTATACACGTTTTTCTTTAAACTTAGTTGAGAACGACCATAACGTATAATACAATGCTAGATAGTAGAAAGGAACTAAACTAAAAAAGTGCTGTGTGTGCTCATAGAGGGTGGCAGCGTTACCAACTTAATATTTTAATACAACAATAATAGTTCCAAAATTAGTTTATTATGCGAACTATTATTTCAAAATGTAATTATATAACAGTTTTTCTATTTCTATTACAGAGTAATATTATTTCTTAACATTATAAACATGGAAATGGCATTGTAAGAGTCAAACGAAAAGTAAATTAACAAACAATTAATACATATATTCTAAAATGAACTTATAAAATTTACATAAATGTAACGATTAAAAAACAGATGTTTCTTATGTATTGATGTTTTTCCATAATTATGTACATTTCAACGTTAAGTGTTTCATCTGAAGAGGACCAGATTTGGTGGTCGAAACTAGTAATGTAATTAACATCTGTTTTTTAATCGTTACATTTATGTAAATTTTATAAGTTCATTTTAGAATATATGTATTAATTGTTTGTTAATTTACTTTTCGTTTGACTCTTACAATGCCATTTCCATGTTTATAATGTTACTACCTAAATGATTAGGTTTTATTAGCATCGGACTAAGTTTATTTTCCAATAAATAAAAAGTTCTCGGTGTCATACGAAAATGTTCTTTGAATTGTCGTGCCGTGAACCTAGGTACTACATTATTTACGTAATTTTCTATTCGGATAGCTTTTTTTGTTCGTCCTCTTAATCGAGAAAATTGCGTACGAATAATTATGTTTAATAATTCTTCCGTTTCACTTTCGCTTTCGCTACTTGAATCCAAAGCTAAAGCAGTTTTTAATACATCATTACTCGCAGTGTTTATTAATAAAACTTTTTCCATTTTATTGACTAAGTTTCCACCGAGGGTTAGAATTGGGTTAGAGTTCAAGAACTGACCAAATCGAGCATTCCTCTCTCATTTGACTGTAAGATGGGAAACTGGCCTGTCTGAAATTAAAAGAAGCAATTATACAGATTCTTGGATCATAATTTATTAAACAGTACCACGAAGAATGTCAACATAAATAATTTACGAATAAATTATCTTTAGTACAATTGCATTTGCCGCCACATGTACGTTACTCTAACCAGTTCCAAAATATTCCAATATAGTAGCTAACTCCGACTTACTCTGCCCCCCACTAAACGGGGTTCTATAGAGTTAATCGAGTAAAGTTTTGGAACGCAGCCCAGGACTGCTAACGGCAGCCATTACTGGAATCCAAGATCTCAGAGCCATCAGGTCCGGAAGTTGGCCAAATCAAGAACTAACTAGCTGCATTTCGAGTAAGAATCGGTACAATCGGGACGCGTGTGAGGTATACATTCCTGCAGGAGCAAGTTCAACAAAAGAAAAAGATATGTCATTTTATAAGTTAGATTTAATTTTGTATAGAGTCCTAGATATCAGAGAAGCGCAACCGGCTTAAGTCAGTATCGCAAAATTACTAAGAAAAGTAATAAAAATGGCGTCGTTTGCAGACGAAATATAAAATCCACCAATCGTCTATTAGTCAGCCATTTTTAATACCACTGAATGAATGTCATGATTGGCTGACAGTCAGCTAATCAGGACGCGGAACATCGGTTGCGCTTCTCTGATATCTAAGGACTCTAGATTTTGTGAAATATGAACCTTACATCTGGAACACTATTTACTTTTTTCCATTCAAGTAATACTAATTTAAACAATTGTGCTTCCATATGATTCTAATCTTACATTCATATCTATTTTATATTTATTATTATTATAGAGAATATTCTTTATTATTATGTATTTCTAATATATGTAACGATGCACTCCGCAATGCATCGTTCCGACGATACCAGCTGCCAGAAACATTTCATATTTCGCGATATTAGAATTACCGCCGTCGACAGTAGCTATCGCCGCTCCGACCGAACACGTCCAAAGATCGCCGAACGATCTGCGCTTTGCGCTATCCGCCGCTCCGACCGAACGCGACCGAACATCGCCGATCGACAATCCCCTCCGCAGGAATTGCCAACCGCCAAGCGATAACGGAAAAGACCGTAATTAAACGAGCGGGAGCAATAATTAGTATATAACGCGTAATTATTGCTCCGGGAGCTCTCTTCTATCCGAACCGCCGCTCCAGTACGAATCCTGCTCCGATCCTAGCTCCGGTGATCCGACGCGAAAAGGGGGTCAAGTGTTCTTGGTCTCCGTCAAGCGTTCTTGACAGTCGATCACCAAAACTCCTGATCCGCTGGCCGTACGACGCGAAAAGGGGGTAAAGCGTTCTTTGCCTCCGTCAAGCGTTCTTGACAGCCGTACGCCAGTATCCTAGACTTTGCGCACCGGCGAGAAAAGGGGGTGAAGTGTTCTTCGCCTCCGCCAAGCGTTCTTGGCAGTCGGTCGTAAGGTTCCTGTGCATCCTACATTTTTGCGAAGCGTCCCTCATTGCATAGAGGGAACGCCCACCGCGTTATCCGCGCCGCGACCGTCATCCGCCGCTGGCGTATACTTCGCGTACGCGTATTCGTATTGTTATACCGCCGATCGCGCCTCGCGTCCGTCTTGGAATTCGGAGATTCTCCCGCGTTTTCCGCCGTACTCGCGCCGTAATTCACACGTATAGTTTTTCTGTTCGTGCCGTCCGTAATATCTTAGTTTCTTTGTCCGCGCCTCGTAGTTTTTCTATACACGTCTTGTATCCGTCTCGTCTGCTTGCCGTCTCGACAATATACACAACATACACATCTACACCGGCACACGAATACACACCTGCTTGTCACTTACGAACACGTACACACACTCATTTATAAATACACACACTACACACAATAAACGTTTCTTTCTGTCTTTTGTAAAATACTGTGTCTAGTCTAAATTTGATTCTGCATTCTCTCTTCCCGTGCGAACCTTTTTCGCGACTAGCGAAATTTACGACGAGCTGATCCACGCGGAAATTAGGTTGTTTCATATATATACCATACATATATATATTGTTATGCCCGTTCCGTGCCGACGCCCGGTGGATCGCCTTCGCTTTCGAAAAGAAGAACGCGTTGTCTTGACAACGCTGTCTTTTGGTTATCACCAAGTCTGGGACTGACGCTCGTTTCGTTCGGACGTGAAACGTCAGCTCCTGTCTTTCTCTGATCGCTTTGTAATCTGTTCGCAATAAAGAGAGTGTTCTGTGTTTCTCCGCAATCTCTCGTATGTATTCATTTCCGCGTCGCGGGAGCGCGGGCTTGCTCACGTTCGCGATTTCGGTCGTGCGGGCGTAACATTTTGGGGGCTCGTCCGTGCGAACGGTATTATGAGTGGACCAGACGGCCGGGTCGAGCGAGTGCTGTGTGACGCGATGCCTTATATGCTGCGTCCTACTCTACGTAAGAGGAGGCTCATTGCGGAGGAGGATCTTCCGGCGACGTCGAGTGAGGCGGAGGGATCTTCCTCGATTGCTGCCGCTCTGCAAACGGTGCTGCAGGAAGTCCAGCTTATGCGGCGAGAACAACAGCAGAGGCAGGAGGAATTTTCTGCGACTATACGTCAACGTGATGCAGAGATTTTCCAGCTACAGGAAAGGCTGCGCGGGATCTCTGCGACACACACACACACACAGCTAAGTCCTTCTAATAATGTTATTAATTGCGATCCGTCCGCTCGAAATGAAAGTGCTCGTGCTGCGAGGGGAACCGGTCGTGCCGCGTCCACGGTGCAAACCGCGAGTAGCGTCGCGGGAACTTTAAATGTAAACGCGGCTAACCGTTGTGATTTTTCTGCACCTTTGGTCGCGGGTGTCACGAATCATTTCATGAGTGTAAAATTAAAACCGGATATATTTAACGGAAGTGTTCCTTTACGAGAATTTCTTTCGCAATTTAATTTAATTGCTTGCGCGAATCATTGGGACGAGAGGACGAAAACGGTCGTGTTAATTTCGTGTTTGAGAGGAGAAGCGCGTACGGTGTTAGAGGGCATTCAAAATTTAGAAGACCTAGATTTTGTGGCGCTTAAAACGAAGTTAGAATTGCGTTACGGTGAAGCGCAATCCGCGCAGGCGTATTACACGCAATTTACGAATAGAAAACAAAAATTCGGAGAAAGCGCGGCTTCTCTCGGTTCCGATATTGAAAGATTGGCACGATTGGTTTATCCGGAGCTTACCGATGCAGTGCGTGACAAATTTGCGTGTGCGCAATTTATTTCCGCCTTGACTGACGGTTTCGTAAAAAGAACAATACAGTTGGAAGGGATTACATCGTTGAGGTTTGCCATAGAAAGAGCAAAGACCATTAGAATAATTCAAGAAAATAGTTTTGGGCATAAGAAAGATTTTCAAAATAGTAAAGAAAGAAGAAAAGAATCTGAAAATGGTAAAGAGGGAGAAAATAATAAAGAGAAAA